TTTAATAAGTAGGTATAGGACGGGACATGTTGGTCTATCGATTTTAAAGTGCGAAATAACCGATGATTTTAAACCCGCAGCGTTTGCCACGCTGACCCATTGATTGTTTAGTTTTCAGTATTGACTTTTATATTCCTTTTCAGAGGATGGGCGATAGAGAGTAGCATCACTAAGATGTTCCTCTGTTATCTCGACATCCAGCTGGCGAGGGATAACTACGAACTCTCCCCCCTTATCACTAACAGACAATCTTATTGTTTTCGAGTTTGTTAATTCTCCAATTTCCCGCATGCCACATTTTTGTGCGGCTGTAAGGTTAGAGATAAACTTTCTATCGCGGTAGTGATCAAGGTTCTTGAGAAAGCCGTCCGAAAATGCGGAATTTTATGTCAATTCCATCGTTAGGGTCCTGCTGTCTAAAGAACGTTTTTGGGAAAGGAGATGGTGGTAGTGTCGCCGCTTCTTGATTTTTATTTCTATTTTATGTTTCTTGCTTGGCCTGATAGCGGAGTCGATCTAGAAGCTCATAAAGGTTGCATGCTATCCTACGCAGGGTCGTTTTAGAAATGGGCTGTGATGGTGCAAAACTTGGGCCCAATTCTAATAGCGAGCGCGCATTCTCAGGTATTGTTATGCCCCAATCACGGTGACCCTAGATTTTCTTGGTGCATTATCAACCCCATTTTGACTATTATCAGAAACGTAAGGAATTCGTTTGCCGTTGTTTCTTGAAGCTGAGACGTGTGAATTACCCAAAAGGCTTTCGAATTTCCGTTGTAAGGTTATTTTGGCATTAGATCTAATAAAATCGCATATCGCATAAAATCGCAAAGCATAGCGGAGACGATTTTGAAGTTAAAGTCAATATCCTTGCACAGGAGTCCAAAACACCAGCGCGAAAACTAGAGGCTTTTTGGACCAATGCCAAAAACCCTACAATGAATAGCATGGACGAATGCCCGGAGGTCATACGCGACCTGATCCCGTACGTTCGCATCGATTTTTGATGTGGGATGGTGCAGTCGTCAACCACATGCGACTATAATCAGCTGTTCTAAACTTCCTCATTGGAAGTGACGAAAAAGCGGTGGGTTTTTCGAGAAGTTGTTGATCATGTAATTACCAAGGAGTTTTTCGTCTTTTTGTAAGTGTTATTGAAGCGTTTGGCCTAGTAGATTGTATATCAGTATACCCTTCCAGTCTCTGAAGAAGGCGATACTGCCGAAACGTCAGCTAGTGTTGTATTGTATTGTGTTTCTCTGTGGAAGTAAATGTATGCTGTTTAAAAACCTCGCGATTGCTGAACAAGAAAACGACACATTGTTGAGTAAGTCAAAATTCTATTGGTATCTTATTCCTGAGCAGACAAGCGGTTTTCAAAAACAGGATTTATTCAATACTGGATAACGATTAGGTGGTTTCGCATACTTTAAGGGCAGAGAGTAGGAGAACGAATCCCTGAAATTGGCGCAGAAAATAGTCATTTGTAGTGGCTACAAAACGGTAGCTCCTCGGGCTAGGTTTAGTGGAAAAACAAACCGCCGAACGACAACTCTAATAAAAAGAAGGATCTGTTTAACCTCTCCTTTATTTCCCATGAAATAAGCACAAACATAATTGGATGTTTAAAACGGGCTAGTCTACAGGATTTGGTAGCAGTGACTGAAATACAATTGGACACTGTAAAACGACGGCTAGTTAGTAACAGCCTATAATTGATACTCGATACTTGAACAGACCGTCCTCACTAGTTGTGAGGGTCCCACCATAATCACAATTTTACGGAGATATGCTGGTTAAGCCATTGTGGTTCCTGGAATCCCGGCGACAGCTCGGCTAAAGTCTGCTCCAAGTTGTCACCACGGTAGGCAGTCGCAGCCCTTGTATTTGCCACCATGCGACTTTGATAGCAGGACGGTGGCGGATCCTGGTATTGGTTTACTCTTAGCAGGCTTCCTGGAGGAAACACCGGACTTCTTCTCACCTTGGGAGATTGTACATCGCAGTCACCCACACCCAGGAACACCTCCCAGCCACGATGAGGCGGTAAACCGTTGGGAGGGTAACAGCCTATACGATCATTAATGTAAAAAAAAAGCACTCAGCGTTGATTAATCTTTGAGGAATGCGCCATGTATTCGGCTTAACTAAGTATCGTTAAAGGTGATTGAATGCATATCTGACTTTACAATGACTCGCGGTGGCCAACCGATGTATCGAGCCATTGCTGCTATCCTCCCAGAGAAGTCTGGTACCAATTTGCCGACGCCATAGGGATGGAAGGCTTGGTGAGCCTGGGGCGCGAGGATCGATCCCAGTCTATTGCAGGGCGACTCCGACCACTGCGCTGCACGCGCCCTTTTCTGTATACAAAGTCTATATGCAACGGAAAATTGCACGATATGCCCTAAAGGTGGAGATGGTGATTGCAGGAGTTCCGGTTCAATGCACTCAATTTCTTTTAAAGTGTATGGGGACGAACACGTTGGCAAAACGGACAGGCCACTTTGCTCCATTTAAAAGAACGCCTAGTCAGTAAATTTAAATTGGAACCAAATATTCCACTAGGTTCGGATAGGATACAAAAGCGTAACGGAGAACATTTTGAAGTAAACGTCACTGCCCTTGCACAGGAATCCAGAACATAAGCGCGTAAAACTCATATAAATGAAATTTATACATTGCGTTTTTTCTGATTGGTCTTTTAAAGTGTCTGACTGAGTGGATGAAGTATCACTCTAAACTTTCTAGGCTTTGAGGAAGGCAAAACCTCTGAAGCGTCAGCCGGCAGTGAGTAAACATTGTTACTCACAAATTTATGTCTGCTCAAGTAGAAAACACCGACCAGTTTAAAATAACTTTCATGAGTTCATCGATTCTAGAACTCCAAAAATCTTAAGGGATGGAGTTCTTAAAGATGTTCCCTGATGAGAAAATGTTATTACTCAGAAAATGTTATTACTCTAAAGAGGCATATTTCAAAGAAAACATTAACTTTGAAAGCAGTTGTGCCTATTTAAAAATATGTTTCGAAGATCGCATTCTTTCCGAATGAATTTGTTTAGTACAGCATAAAAGATCAAGAAACACCATTGGCGTAGCTGCATTTATTCCTTGTAGTGCCTACTCATTCCCAGTCTAATATTTACCGTACGCCGTTACCAAGCGCTTTTCCAGTTGCTGAAGGGTGATGCAAGGAAAGTACCCACTCTTTGACAAGATCACGTAAGCTGAGCAGTTCTACACCTCTTAAGCCCAGCTGCAGTAAATCTATTTCGGAAAACATCACAGTTCTGGAAGATGGAGGGCATTCTAGCAACCTGACAACACAGTACTGCTGTTTTGGAGGTTGAAGTGAAACAACTAGAGAACATCATCGAATTGATGTCAATTTTTGCGAAATGTCGATATGTCCAACTAACACCAAATTGTAAGAAGAGAGTATGTCAACTAAACACGAGTTATTATTTAGTAAATCCATTAGCACAATGGTACCAGACAACTATCGATAATTTTTCGATAATTACAGTGCTCTGAAACCTGCAGCCTTCATAAGCTTCCAAAAGAGAAAACGTTTCAGTTACAAAACTGTTTAAAGAATAAATCACCTTCAAAAATCTGAAAGCAACAGGTAGTGGCAAACAACAGCACTGCATTGGCGGACATTATTATGCCCTTTTCTATGGCCTCAACGAAAAAAGCGAGAAAAGACCACAATTCTCAAGTTTTAAAAAATCAAGATTTTATCTTCATAGAAAAAATGCTTGTATCTCCTTTGCCTAAAATCGGTAGATTTTAATAGTTTCTATTTGAAGTTAACGTTCAGTGCAAGGTGAGGTGTGTTTGATCAAAGCCGACAAAGGCAATTGTATTTCGCCAAGAATATAATGAAGTCAAAGAGGGTCACAATGAATGCTTTAGTTTGGTCACTAAAAACTTTTTTACATTGTGATAAAACGTTGTCTCAAACCCTTTTTATTTATTGGTCTAATCGAAGATCGATTAGCCAAGTTTGGTGGTTCTCTAATCAAAACGATTCTATCGAGGCAGTTTAGCGTATAGCCTCGCAAATAAGCATAAAAGGTGTGAAATAAGCCTTGACAGGTTACGGAGAAAAGATAATAGAATATATCTAACAAACACTCACTGCTCATAAGACGTGGAAGTATATAGAATATAAGAGACTGAGTGTCATGGTGGCTACACTGACAAAGAACTAGTGAACTCTCCCCATCATGGACACAAGCTGCTGCAGGACAATTGCCAATTTGTACGCGAACACTCGCAGGCTGTGGGAGTAGGCGTTCTAAATCGACAATGGTAGCTGGTTAGAGTATATCTGAAGCAAATCCTATCGATTCCTAGAAACATCAAAACTGATCAGTCCTCGTCTTATAGTTACGCAGTTTAGATTTTCTATAAAACTACCTCTCCTAAACCATAAAGTGTTGCCATATTTTACACAGTTTCCAGAAACACAACAAACTAACCCAAGACAGCGAAAACGCGTGTACAAACAAGAGAAAAATTTAGCCGGTCTGTGTGTTCCAGCAGAAGTCCAATCCTTCGCAGCAGCTCCGGAGGAAGCAGTTCCATCTTAAATTGAAATAGTGGTCGTACTAATTTTGAGAGAACATGCTGAAATGGTACATAGACAAACCTGCAATGTAAGAAAAGAAAAAACGAAACAAAAAGTTAACGGAGATAAACAGCCGTTGAGAAGTCGGAAAGCAATTAATACCTATTCACTTTTTATTTACAAAAATACAGGTTAAAAGAACTTTTAAGAATTCAATCAACGTCGCAGATGTAGGACTCTAAATTCACAAACACCTGACTGGTACTCGGTTATGTAAAGCGGCAAAACTTTATGAAAAATGAATAAAAATGACCAAAACATAACAGCACATAAAGTGCACACTCCATGAGGTATTGTAGTGTACAATAGATCAAGCTGTAGGAACACAAGGTGGGCGTGAAATAGACTTGTGCAGTGCCTTCTACATTCCCCATCGTTTACTCCGAACGGACCGACCAACGTCAGCAATACGAGTGCTCTCCGGGCGTTTCAACGCGCGTTCTGACTCCTCCTTTCGTCGCTGCATTTCCTTTTGCGCTTCACGCATCTCTTCCTCCATAGTTTCCGACGTTCTCACGCTTTCCATACGTTTTTCCGATCGAGACATCCTCGACTCCTATAAAAGAAAGTGGTAAATGTCATACTACTGCACACATATCCAGGTTAAGCTAAATTAAAAACGCAAGACCGAAAAAGGAGACCTATTTCTCACAATCTAGGCAGAGTGAATACGACCGTAAGTAGTTCTAGGTCAAGATAAAGAAGGTTAACAAGGAGAGAGGCCGAATAAAACAAACAAAGATCAACTGCCAAGTATTCTAACCTTAACTGAATAAAACATAGGTCCCAATTCAGCCAGCCAAACCGCATCAACAGCTGTGACACATTGCATGTATTCCTTCGTTGTCATTACCAATTCGTGGTAAACCTATAACACCTCTCCATTAGCTAACACGAAATGAAACTTCTAGAACACATAATCAGAGAAAAACCAATAACGACGCTGCAAAACTGACTACGTAATCAGGCATGAAACCCATTCCAAAGAGCGCGGAAGTTGGATGTAAAAAACATGGAATTCCTGTACGCACGTTAACGTACTCTCCAATTCCTTTTAGCCTAAAAATTAAAACCTAGTGGCATGGGTATTGGTAGCAGTACTATTTCAAACTTGTGTAGCAATATGTATTTATTTTAAGACATACAAGGCATTGAACAATTCAAGCTCCAACCTCCGATCAATACGTCTGAGTTCATGAGCATGATTCAACTGATAATGAAGTAAAATCATTATAATCTATACATCTGCCAAGACGACACAATTCTACTAGTATTGTAGAATAATAAAATTGTAGTTCATCACAGCCAGAAATTGTTTTTTTTTTTCAATTACTGTCAGCGATACTCGCATCTCAGGAAGCTTAGCGATTTAACAATGTTGATTTTAATCGCGATTTTATCGCTGATGCTGTGTGGTTATTCTTATGTTAAAAGTGCTAAGATTTGGATATTTAATTTTTTTCTGAAAATTTCAGCACAAACAAATCTAACAGTTCGAGCCTGTTTCTCGCCCTGCTTGCGAAAAACTTTTCGATCACAAGAGGACTAATGAGCCGAGAACACCACAGACTCATGGAAAGTTTACATCGCTATAATAGAAAGGATGATTTTTATAAAATGTCCATAGAATTCTAAACTTGTTTGGAATCAACATTTTCGGGAAACTGAAAATGGAGTTTAAACTCATAAATTTTTTATTTGAGACGCCAAACTTCATAGCTTCAAATAAACGATGCATTAGAAAACATCTTCATAGCGTAGAAGGACAAATTCTTTCGCTTATCTAAGACAAAGCATTCGCTATCTACCCTGCCAAGCACTTCCATTACGTCAGCAGATAAAACTTGATACATAAACTTTTCACTCGCATAATAAACAGCTTCTCTGAAACATACGCTGTTTTGTTCTTTGTAAGAGTTCCGGTTATTTGGTGTGAACCAGCCGCACATAGTTCTAAATAGGCGATAAATGCGTCTGGCTCCGTTCAAAGAATCGACCTGATGTTTGGCGAGAAGTCACGCGTAGTAACAAGACACTCGTCTTCGCCGTTCAGCTCTAGATTTTTGGATTTTATCTAAAACGCTTCAAAAGTTTTATATGCTGATGTCTCGGACTCCTGTTGGTGGATAGCGACTTTTACTTCAAAATTTTCTCCACTATGCCTTTGTGTCTTATGCGCAACTAGCGGAGTATTCCGTTTAACGCTGAGTTTACTAACTAGATATTCTTTGATATGATTTCCGTCTCATACTTATCAAAACTCATCAGTTATATCCACTGATGATAATGCGTCTACCGATCCCTAAATTTTCAAGGTTAGCCCCACAATGTCATGTAGATGGACCCACGGAAAGAATAGCCTGGTTTATAAATCTAATATTCATCCAGTTCTTGAAACACATCCCAGTCCATCTCATGAATACCCGAATGTTACCGAATCGTCTGCGTAACGCGCGTCTTAACAGCATGTATGTTCTAATGGAGTCCTTCGACGTTACCATCCTTTACACAAACGTGTCGAATTACTCCGCCATACAAAACATCCTCGAAACCCTTATAGAACACGAAGTAGTAATTAATATACATGGGTCCTCCATATAGTAGCCCATGGAGTCTTAAAGCAGTGCCTAAACTGCTCAATGTTCACAGACAGTCAAAAATATTACGCACAAATTAGAGAATAGGCAATTGGATAAGTATTGGCATCACACTTAATTCTAGGGTGAAAGCGTTACTTATAGATCTTCGGCTATTACTCTTCTGTAGATACATAAATAATTGCTTTGTCATTTGCTCCACACGAGAAGAAATGGAAAAACCTCTTTGAATTATTGAACGAAGAATCAGAGCACAGAACATCCACCCGAAACCGGAAGGAAACCGGTTTCCGTTTCTGAACATACAGTTAACTTATCTCAAAACGGCTACATCACTAAGTGGCACTGGAAACCAAGTAATAAAAGCATACTAGTTTATTACCTACCCTCTCAGTAAGAAAAATGTTTCGAACGGCCACCAGTACACCTATTGGAAGACAGCAGAAAGAAGAATCTCAGAAATTGGCGTAACAAACAGTCATTTTCAATTGTTACGAAACTGTAACTCCTCGGAAATGGTGTACAGGAAAAACCGCGTCGCCAAACGATAGTTCTAGCGAGAATAAGATTTTGTTAAACGTGTCGGTCATTTCCAACGAAATAGTTTTAAAACGTTGCTTAAAAAGGGCTGGTCAAGAGAAATCGGTAAAAGTGGTTGAAATACCACCGGACGCTCTAAGACGCCAGCCAGTTCGTAACCGCCTACATGATCGTCTACCTACGACGAAAAACTGCATATTATACTCAAACGGTAGAGACGATGACTGCATGAGTTCAGCTATGGTGTTCCTAATCTCTTGTAAAGGGTGTGGGGATGAATATTTTGGCGAAACGGGTAACTCTGTTTCCGTACGAAAGGACATCTAATCGGTAAATTTAAAGTAAGATCAAACAGTCCACTAGGCACATATAGGACACAAAGGAGAGGCATAACGGAGAAGAGGTAAAACATCCTCGCACAAGAATCCAAAACACCAGCGCGTAGAACTCTTGAAGCGTTTTGAATAAAGTTCAAAAACCCTAAGATGAACCGCAAAGAGTGCGTCGTGATCACGCGTGGCCCTGCGCCAAACATCAGGCCGATTCCTCGGAAATGGTGTAGAGGAAAAAAGTAGATCTTTGCCCTGAGCGAGGCAGATTCCTCGCCCATGTGGGACTATGTGCGGCTGGTCTCCATCAAATAATTGGGAGACTCACAAAGAACGAAACGGTGAGTGTTTAAAAGAAAGCGTTCATTATCCGAATGAAAATGTATGTATTAAACTTCATCTTCTAAAAGTATTTGGCTGAGTAGATTGCGTGTGTCTGACCTCTTTATGCTTTGAAAGAAACAAAACCGACGAAACGTCAGTTATTGTGAATTAATAAATGGTGTAATAAAAACCTCGTGATTCCTCATCAAGCAAACAGTGAGTCACTGAGAGCTAGTTCACATTACGGGTATTGATCTTGACTATAAATAACGCAACGCTTGTTAATTATAGAGCATCATTAACACACAGCAGATTATGTGCAATGATTTGAAGGCAAAAAGTACAAACATAGTGGCCACTTTCATAAATCAACGGAATGGGCCTGGCGAACATCGTCATGGTCGAAGCAGACCACCACCATGGATGGCGAGTACGATGAGAAAGAGAAACAAATTAAGACTGTGCTGGGACAGCTCATAATTAACTTAACATCGTTAAATATAGATACTAATTTCTGCTTGAGAAAACGTAATGTACTTATATTTCACATAATATCGTACCCTTAACAGTACATAAAAATTGACGACATTGTAGTTTATAGCTCCAGGTTAACTGGGTGCATGCCCATTTGTGCCGCCAGATCAATCTCGTTGATGGATGATTGTTGATATCGCCTATAGGTCAATAACATGGCTGAGAAACAGGAAAAACGAAGGACTCGCATAGTGTGCTGATAAACGTGTCAGCTCCCGGAAAGGGTAATAGCGTGTTCGTTCCCCACCGCAGACACCTGCGGTCCGGAGTTTTGCAAATATCTCAGCATTACAATATTTATATTTCGCAAAATACCCTGCCGTTAAAAAGAATAGGCAGTAAATAAAAAGGTTAAGATTCAAAAGACAAACTTTCTATAAACCTCGGCACAAATAATCCTACATGTATACTTTGTCTATGACTTTCAGTAAATTTTAATTCTAGACAGTTTTGGAAGTAAAATAACGTAGAAAATTATATATATATATATATATATATATATTCTTAAGGCGATTAAGCAAGACCTCTTGTATAGGTATTTCGTTTTCTAAACCCTTCAACTACTCTAGTTATCCGAAAAATGCTGGTAATTGTTAAGAAACCAGCCCGATCAAAAACTACTTAGGAAAGAATAAGGACAGGTTTTTTTTTTATAGAATCCAAAGGACAATGTGTTTAATAAACTTCTATGCGCTACGTGGAACTGGTAAAAACAAAGCAGCGAAGACATCAAGTAAAGCTTAACATAAATTGGAGATCAAGCGATAAAATACCAAAGTTCTCATTCTCTCTGTAAATATTACTATAAACGTCGATATGGCGATCGAATCTACAAAATAGTGTGCACTGAGGTTCACCTCTTACTAGCGCACTACACAACACACGCCTAGTTGATGGTATTTTGTTATCAGCAGCAATGATACGAAATTTACAAACCTCCCAGCATTGTGGAAGTATGCTGAACATATACACTTCCGTATGATATCCCAGTCGCTTCCAGTAGACACAACCCTAATCTTCTGCTCCTGCATGATCTCTTTCAACTGAGCTCGTACTTCGCGAACCTAAGAATAAAATACGAACTATACGAACTATAAATCTACAAGTAATTATACACTAAACAACTATGTAAGCACAACTGCGCACCTTTCTTATAGCTTTGGCATGAATATAATTGTCCGCACACCATTTAGCAGAATATTTGTGTTGTCGCCATTGCAAATAAACATTAAGAAACGTTAGATGGTCAGACTCGGGAACCTATAATGAGTCTGATCAATTTTTCCGAATACGCTCTCTACGAATTTTTAATTATGAAAATAATATTACTTGAAATTTCTCCTTTTTCGAATCAGCTTCATCTTCTCTACCCTTAGGTCGGAAAAATATAGCAGGAACAGAAAGCATTGATACTATTGTAAGCACCTAAAAAACACCCGATGAAGTGCTAATGCTGAACATACGAAGAGAAAGAAGCAGACTTTTCCATTTTCGGTTTCTCACTTCCTCTGCCAAGTAGTGCTCACCAATATCGTTTTTCCGTAATCTCTTTCTTACAAATACCAAAACATTTTGCGCCTAACACTCCCCTTCTTTTTAGACCTGGATTTCGATTGAAACCTTATTTAACTGATTAAAAATTTTTCTTGATAGGATATGGAAGGTAACAGAATGGCCCTCATTTACAGTAATTTGTACATGTCCTAATGTTTACTAACGATTGAAGGTAAAAAGCATTAGTTATTTGAAAGGAAAGTTTTTGCATTGTCCCTTCTGTTCCTTACCTTCTTAATTAGACAAATGAGAATTGCACAGTTGGCGAATATTTATGGCTCGGGAGAAAGTTTCTGGAGAAAGCCTTCTTCTGCTTTGAAACCGCGAATTTTTGGTACAACCTCAGAATATCTTACGTGCAGGTCATATTCCTCTTCAGTGCTACCGATAATGCTGCCATCTCAATAGCCGAAAGTAGAATAAACAGATACTTTGCTATAGTTTCCAGATTCCGATTCACCAATTTCACAACTCCTTCTTAAGAATAGCTTGTATGAAGCAACAGTTCCATTCATTTCAAAAATTCGGGAAAGCAGCAAGATCGGCTAGGTAGAACTTTCAGAACAGAACACAATAGAATCATTTGTGACTTCGCCTTAGTACTCCCCCTGACAAATCCCACGTCCAGCGTCGACATAAGAGCCTCTGGATATGGAGTTCTTCTAGGCAGTATCTTGCAGACGAACCCATTGATGATCTTTTCAATTCTGCGTTACGTCAACGTTTTTTATAGGTCCAGCTTACTTCTGTTAAGTCTCGATCATGCAGTAATGTAGGCATAGCACTAGATTGCCATAAAGCGCTTTCCTTATGTCGTTAACTTTATCTCACATATTGTTGTAAAGTAACGATGCCCATGGTTGACGTTGAGAAGAAACATAAGCTCACAAGGGAGTTAAAAATTGTGAGCTCTCACCAAAGCAGTTCTTCATCATGATAAAGTCAGACAGTCCTTCCCATTGGTCGTTTCCTTCCAATTTTTGAATATCAAAGTGAATCAGTGGTGGCACACCTCCCTCTAATCCACAAGAGCTACCACTACCTGTTGTGGTAACGACCTGAGGCAGATTTTGACCATGATGTCCTGGGGACTCCAGGGAAACACAATGGGTTGACCAGTAAATCTCCGAAAAATGGTGATTGTGCTGGGATCCGCACAACTAATGATAACGGGCCGTTTAAGTATCAAATAAGTAAAGTGAACTTCTCCGGGTGTTCCGCTGGGGCCAATTTCGGCTTTGAAGTCGCCTAATTTGACCCCCAGGGTGATATCTGGGTATTTCCCTCATCAATGCAGAATGTTTCATAAACACAGTACTTTCGATTTTCATCTATTCTTTACATTGTAAACTCTAATTCGGGTCGTTCGTTGTCCGAAGGAGTCAAAGCTGACGACAAAATTCGTACTGATTAGAACACCAAAATGGCCGACTTTTTTCAGTGTCCTCTAATCTTTAACATTTAATGTCCAAGGAATTATTCCCCGATGCTATAAACAACACCTAAGAGCCGGTTTTGTTCCTATCGACCAGTTCAGTGGTGTCAACTATGAACTTCTTACCGCATACCATAAGATCTTCAATGAAAACTTTTATGCATATTTTGTAGGCACAGAAGGCCACTACAGTCAGCGCCTACTTAGGACGAATTGCCCTGAGACTTTAACAACCTCATAATATTTCGTATTTCTCAATAATCACGAATGAGAGGCTGGTTCATCGTCAGGAGAAAGAAGTCCTTCATTTTGCTGTTTTAGCAGTAAACACGTAGAGTGGCATGCCCAAATTAGATGTGCAGACTGTTTGCTGGAAGTGACTCCGAACCACCAACATACCAGTTACCCGACTGCTGAGCATGCTACGACACAGCAAAGATAAAAAGCCTATCCTATCAATAAATTTGCACTCCAAAATAAGTCAGAAGTCGTTGTCGGCAAAATCGTTTAGTTCATCACTGAGCACATTGAGACACCTCTTGTCATTTTATGACCTACTGATCAGACTTGCTGCTCACGGGTACGATCCACCATTTTCGCATTGTCGTCAATGTGTTTCATGGCACTTGTATAAATCAAACAAATATAACATAGTCGATTTCCATTAAATGTTTCGTGAAAGAAAAACAGTGGAGCAACCCTTGGTTACAAACCCATTCTTAGTTGAAACTAATATGATCGCAGCATTGGTAATAGTGAACATGTCAGTTCCCTATCTGCAGTGATTTTAGCAAAACAAATAAACCTTCAGGAGTTATTCGTATCTAACTGCCGAGTCCTAATTTCCCAGAGGCTATTCAGTTCCTGTTACTGACATAATTTAAATAATATGCCCGACATATTCTAATTAATTTAGAATTTCGACCCGAATTTTGTAGCTATAAATAACAGATTTAAAGAAAGGAAAACAAATGTGATGTTTGGTTTAGAAGAAAAAACAAGGAAGACTTACTTCTTCACTACAGCCCATATCTTCCGACATTATGAGCATTTTTGAAAGTGTGGGATCAAGCGGAAATTCGACCATCACCCTTCCGAGATCAGTTAACCTGAAGAAAAAACTCTATGTACACTCATTATGATGCTGAGATATTTGCAAAACCAGGATCTCAGGCCAGAGCGAACAGCGATCACCTTTTCCGGGAGCTCACGTGTTACGCACGGCACCACTAAGGTCCTTGTTTTGACTTTTTCTCAGCCAACCATGTCAACCTAAAGCTGCCATCGGCAATCTACGATCTATAGTCACTCTATTTACACTTGAAGCTAGCGTAAAGCTTCATTACAGTACCGTCCCGTATTATCAAGTGCTCCTAACGTCCACAGTTGATACATTGAGTTGAGCATGTTATCTTGTGGAGGAGCGTCCATGAAGTGAAATTTTAAGAGATCATCTACACCAAGTGACTTCAATAATAACACGACATTCGATAAATTGGTACGTTGTATTTCAGGAACAGTTGAAACCTGAAAAGAATGAGGTTAAAAAAAAAGGAAAACTGGAATGTACTTGGTATTTCTAGGAATAGAAATGCATAAAATGGCTTCGCACCTAGCTTATCAATTTCGCTTCCATTTTTTTAGCGAAATAACTTTGAAGGACAACAAACTCACAAGCATCTCTTCCTTGAACTGACGCTCTGTATACAAACGAAAGCACTGTCCTGGTCCTGTTCTACCAGCACGACCCGACCTTTGGTTAGCCGATGCTTGAGAGATTGGGAAGATATAAAATGAACAAACATGAAGGCCGCCATAAGGCAAAGGTTGCATATAAAATTACTTTCGAATGATCAAATCAATCTAGTTCAGAATACGTTGTTTGTTTTGCAAAATTCCAGAAACTATCGTGGAGAGTGCTACAAACCTGGAGTGCGTCCATTCCAATACGTGGGTTGTAGACCTTCATTTTACAAAAACCTGGATCAATAACAAAAAGAATGCCATCTACTGTTAAAGAAGTTTCTGCGATATTCGTAGCCACAATACACTTCCGCATTCCACCAGGAGCACGATGGAAAATTTTTGCCTGGAAACTACCGTCGTCGGCACTTGAAATGTACGACGAAATTTCAGAGCAAACTGTTTAAAAGCAAAATATACACATTCCTGTGTTTTATACTGGTATAACATCACAACGTGAAACCTGTAAATCACTAGGCAACTGCGAATATATGGGAAGAACTGCAAGGGGCGGTGCTTCGTCCAGTTCTTGAAGGCGTGACTTCATCAATGCACAGGTTACCTTAAATTATTTGTTTTCACAAATACTTTGAACTACAATGACTACAACTAGAATAACCACAAAGATGCTCAGATATTTGGAAAACTTCTGACCGCTGGTATCTGCGGTGGAGACTGAACACGTTATTACCCTTTCCGTGGATAGCGCGTTTACGACTACATGCAAATCCTTCGTTTCGACTTTCTCTCAGCCGTATTATTGACCTATAGGTGCTCTCAGGTGACTCATACCCCTTGACGCGTGACTGTTGAAGGGCGAAACGAGGGACTCGCATGGTGTGGTGGTGAACGCGGTGGAGACTCTGGAAAGGGTAACAGGCCTATTCCCCACCGAAGACACCAGAGGTTCCGAGTTTTGAAAATATCTCAACACAATTGGGCTTGCAAAGCTCCGGACCGCAGGTGTCTGCGGAGGGGAACGAACGCTCTATTGTCCTTTCCAGAGAGAAACGCGTTCACCACCAAACCATGCGGGTCGCTTCGTCTGTCTTTCAGCTAGTTCTATCGATCTTTTGCCAGCCATCAGCAATCACCCGTCAACGGGATTGATCTGGGGAGCCCAAATGGGCATTGTACCCAGTTAAGTTGAAGTTGAAAAAGATCGATAGAGCTAGCTGAGAGACAGGCGAAAAGAAGGACCCGCATGGTGTGGTGGTGAACGCGTTACTCTCTGGAAAGGACAATAGAGCGTTCGTTCTCCTCCGCAGACACCTGCGGTCCGGAGTTTTGCAAATATTTCAGCATTATAGTAGTTATATTTTGTAAAATACCCTGCCGTTAAAAAGAAGAAGCAGCAAATAAAAAGGTTAACACAATTGGGTTTACTTCCACAAGACACTCTGCCATCAAAGAATTGGCAATGAATAAGAAGTGACGACATTAAAACTAGGATATTGCACGCATCCATTTATTTATTTATATTGGACCCACCTCAATATCTTCTTGACCTGGCATGAAGATCAAAATATCGCCTTCCATTCCACCAAGATGAACAGTGATCGCCTGTTTTACAGCTGCGTCCACATAATCTTCAACCTAAATAGTTTGATCGGTTCACTCCCTCTACTGAACAGGTAATATCTCTTGTTCCATACATCAGAATAATATTGGTATGTATACTTTGAGTAATAAGAACACTAAATTATGAAGCAGGAAAATAGAACGCTTGAAGATACAAAAATTCGAAAAGCTGGAAGTGGTTTATTACATACCGGAACTCTTGCATGAAAAACCTCAACAGGGAATGTGCGACCAGGGATTGTGAACGTCGGGCAACTACCTAAACCACGTATTAAGTGTGAAACAAGCGTAAGCAAGTTCACTATGAAAAGTGTTCACCTCCGAAAAAATTGGCGAATTTCTCAGCCTCCATAGTTGCGGATGTGACTATTAAACGTAAATCAAACCTCCGAGCCACTACATCTCTGAGAAGCCCGAATAAAACATCAGTATTGAGTGAACTGCAAAAGACGGAATAGGCTGATACAGTATTTGCCATGCCAAACTTCAACACAATTTGACCATTTAGGTATACCGTTCGTGCGCTTCGTCCATGATGATCGCACTGTACTGATCAAGATCACCATCGCCTAGACATTCCCTTAGCAGAATACCGTCGGTCATATATTTTATAACAGTCTTCTCAGAAGTACAGTCTTCAAATCGAATAGCATATCCAACTTCTTGACCAAGCTGAACGAACCACGCACCATCAGAAATTCCCAAATTCGGATGTTCATCAAATAGAGAAGAATAATGTACCTGTACACCCATTTCATCAGCAACACGCTTCGCCACACTCATTGCAGCAACTCTTCGAGGCTGCGTGCAACCAATAATGCCTAATGTATGTAAAGAAGTTCAAACAGAAAAAACAAACACAAAAAATAAGAGAGCTACTGCATTCACCTGTACTTCCGAAACCATCCTCAAGCAAGTACTGAGAGAGCTGAGTGGTTTTGCCTGAACCGGTTTCACCCACAATGATAACAACGTTGTTCTCTCTGATCACATTCATCATCTTCTGTCGACAAGCGAATACTGGCAAATACTCTCTTTGTTGCTAAAACTACCGTAAATTATGTAACTGAATTTGACCAGCCGCATTGCAATAGAACAAATATAATCGAAGCTATTCAAAAAACGGCCTCATTTAAAAGCCTAATGTTAACCATAAAAAATGATTTCAGCATATACTTAACCGGAAAAATTGCGCTTCTAAGTCTCCATAAAAAATATCCAGCTTATAGTCTATTTTTAAAAAATTTGATGTTCTGGAGCCAAAAGTTTCTTTTTCAAATCTAAACTGGCACTCCGAAAAACGAAGCGATTGAACAAAAAGGATTCCACTCAGCAGCAGGACATAATCTCCAAATGCTTTCTTCATGATTTCGTGCTGACGTTGATAGATTGAAAATTTTAATTTCACCTTCATTTTTTTGAAACTTAAACACCTGTGTGATCATAAATTTCAAGAAATCTAAAATCAAATCAAAATTTTAGAAAAATTGTGAACGCTTTAAAACTAAAGAAAAATATTAAGCACTAGAATTACAACGAAATCACTGACAATTTCTAAAAAACTATAAAAGGCTATTGTGTATTGTATATTGTGACACCTCGCAACGGTTGTACTGCTTCATCGTAGCTGAGAGGTGTTCCTGGGTTTCGGGCTGCGATGTACAGCGGTGGGATTCATTCCTCTAACAGGCTCTCCAAAGCTGACGAGTTAGGCGTTTCCATCAGGAAGTCCAGCTAAGAACAAACCAGCACCAGCAGGATCCACCACCGTCCCGGTATCAGACTAGCCTCATGGTGGTGAATCTCCCTCTGATCCAAAAGGGCCGCCACTGCCTATGGCGGTGACAAGCTAGGGTAGACTTTAGCTAGGTTGACCTTGGAACTTCAGAGAATCACAATGGCTAGGCAAGCAAAGCTCGGAAAAAATGGAAATTATTCTGGGCCTCGTGAATACACCACGTCAAAACACTTCATGCTGCGGATACTTTGACCGAGATCTAGGCCTAAAATATTTTTCTTTTCAATGAACCGTTTCAGGAGCCACCCAAGAGTTTGATGGTGACTTTTAGAAAGAAGTGAAATCATTACAAATGCTTACCATGTTGTCACTATTTCATCTATTCAAGATTGGATAAGTTTCGCGCCTGCTGCCTGCCGTGGTAGCCGTTTCTAAGGCCCCCTCTCCGGAGTCCAACCCTCTTCACTCCCTTCTTGTAGCCACAGATCGAATTAAATTTCATGTGATCGCATTACAAGAAACAAAAATCAAGAAGACCGACATACGCCAACTAAACATCGGGACCCTTGTGATCCGCTGAGAAAAGGTCCCGTTACGAAATGTCGGCGGCGTAGACTGTCGTCCACCCGTCCGTCCATTGTCCATCTCGTCGACTCATACGTGATCTTTCCCCTCGCATAGCCGTCCTCCGTCTTCAACTACCGCATCATAAGAAGATCACTGCCATCAACTGCTACTCACCGACCGACGCAACTGATGAGTACGAATTAAACGCGTTCTACTATCAGTTGGAGCAAGTCATCCGCAATGATAAAGCATATCATAAATTTGTTGTTGAAGACTTCCACGCCAGAATAGGAAGAACTAACGAGAGCGAATACAGAATCGGAAATTTCGGATTAGGAGAAAGAAATGAGAATGGGAACCGTCTCGAAGGACTCCTTTCAGCAGCGCGTCTCTTCCATGGAAACTCGTTTTTCCAAAAGAAAGAAAGCAGCCGCTGGACATGGGAGTCTCCCAACGGTATGACTCATGCGGAGATCGACCATATTCTGATAAACAGAAGATGGTGCCTACTTGACACATCGGTAGTCCAGTCATTCTGTACTGGTTCCGATCACCGTCTTCTTCGCGCGAAGATTCGATTCAGCCGCAAGCTGAAAAAGAACTCTCTTCATCCACCACGAGGAAAAAGTCTAGCTGTATACGACGATAACATTCTGAACGAAGTCCTGTCCAAACGTGAGTGGCAGATTGAAGAAGACCCAACCAAAGACTACGAGCTGCTTGTCGAAGGACTGAAAGGTATGCAGAATTAGCCTCAGTTCCTCAAGCAAGAAGATCGGACCGCATCACCATCACTACTAAGGAGTTGCTCGAAAAGAAAATGAAACTGAAGCTTGATCCTACTGCAACACGTTTAACATGGCTAGTAATAAATGCCAACTGCAGAAAAGCTTTGCAGGAAGGTCTACAACGGTACGAACAGAAGAAAATACTGGAAGCAGCAAAGAAAAGAAGCAATCTGAAGAAATGCTGTCGGGAGTTGTGTGATTATAATGTTCCATTGTCAGCCCTGATGAACAAAGATGGGATCGTCAAGACTTTCCGCCATGATATAGAATTAATAGCGGAAGCGTTCTGTACCAACCTTTTCCGCTCTACAATCCCCGTCCCAGGCCCTAATATCCCCGCTAGAGAAAAACCACCTGGAATTCTTCCGTCGGAGGTTAAAGTTGCGATAGAAAGCATGAAAAGAGGCACAGCTCCAGGTCCCGATAATATCACTGCCGATTTCCTTAGACCTGGAAGCTACAATTTACATGTACTTCTCGCAGATCATATGACATCCTACCTCCAAAAGGGAAAAATCCCGAACCAGTGGAGGACGTCGCGCACGGTCACCCTACCCAAGAAAGTAGACTAAAGCGATCTTCGTAGCTATCGTCCCATATGCTTGTTGAGTGTACTCTACAAGCTCTTCACGAAGATTACCCTCTCGCGCATATCAAGGACATTGGATGAGGCGCAACCAGTCGAGCAAGCAGGATTTCGAAAAGGATTTTGCTGCATGGACCACATCCAAACCGTGTCCAGAGTCATCGAAGTTTGTCGGGAATACCACTTGCCTTTAATCTTAACCTTTGTCGACTACGAGAAAGAGTTTGACAGTGTCGAAACGAATGCAATCTTATCAGCGCTCGTCGCTTATGGAGTGGACCCGTCCTACATAAGGACTCCGTCCGACTATTATCGGAACTGCACTGCGAAAATACAGCTTTTCCATCGACCTCTTACAATACCCATAGGAAAACGGGTTCGACGGAGCGACACAATATCGCCAAAGCTGTTCAGCGCCGCACTACAGTGGATAATAAAGTCACTAGGGTGGGATGAGAAAGCCATACGTATTGATGGAATATTCCTATGAAACCTTCGTTTTGCTGACGACATTGTCATTTTCTCAAGAAGTACTAGCGAAGAAGAGGTGATGATCAACGAGCTAAACGAAGCGGTGAAAAAGATTGGATTTCGCATAAATCGAAAGAAGACCCAGTTAATGAAAAACCCATGGTGCGAATGCAAAAAAATTGAATTGGATGGCTCTCTCATTGCAGAGACCACCTCGTACGTTTACCTTGGGCGATCAATGAAGATGGAACACATCATGAAGGAGGAACTAGATAGAAGGAGAGCAGCTTGGGCCGCATTCGGGCCTCTCAAAGAAGCCACCGACCAATTGAAGGACCGAAAAATTCGCGCTCATCTCTTTGATTCTACGGTCCACCCAGCACTCTGTTATACTGCAGAGATGTGGGTTGATACTTCAGCAACGTCAAGAATACTTTGAACTACTACTCACAGAGCGCTTGAGCTATGTCTTCTGAAATATAACCGGTACTCTCAATATGTAGCCGGAATGCGAAGCTCTGAACTTCGAAATTTGTCACATTTTCGAGATCCAGAAGAATATACATCGACAGCGAAACATAGATGGACCGGTCACGTAATGAGAAGAACAGACGACAGATGGACGAAAAGAGCAGCAGAGTGGACTCCAAGAAAATACAAACGTCCCATTGGACGACCACCTACAACTTGGGCGGACGTGTTCGTAAACAAAGTTAATCAGCTGTACCCGCAGCTGCAGTTGTTTTACAGATCACGGTATGAGACTCGCAAGCGCTACCATGATCGAACAAGACCACCACCATGGACTACAATTGCGAGAGAAAGGAACGAATAGCATATGTGCTGTGGTCCACACAGCTCGTGAAGACTGACTGTCCAAGTATCCAAGTAAGTACCAAGCTTACCATGTTCACTAGATTGACAATCTCTGATTTATTGACAAGAAATTTTCGTCTAAAACTCGCAAAAATATATTCTAACAACACTCACCTTGATTGATTTTTCAAGCGCAAAATCAGAAACAGCCTGCGACTTCTCGCTCATATGAGAGGCAAACTTATGCGACTCCTAAAAAAATGAGCAGGTAGGCATAAAGGAATTTACGCATGGATTTGGAAGAAAAAGAAATACAAGTAAACTTCCTTACTTACTTAGAAAAAACTTAGAAAAAACCTTACTTTGAAATCCTTAACATCATCATCTTCTGAATGAGCTATTTCATCCGATTTCTGTTTGACACCCATCAGATTTCCAAGATTACTACCCGCCAGTTCCCAATGCTTCTCTTGCGCCTGAGAACAACTTGACTTAAGTCCACCTCCAATATTATTACACCTGAGGAAAGAATTTATTTTAAAAAAAATTTTCAAAGCGCTTAGTCTCCATTACTTTCTTCCTCTCTTCTGAATCACGAAACTGCCGAACAACTTTACTACCGCGAGCTGCCGCAACTGCCATGTCACATGTTATATCCACCACAGGAATTACCGGTTTAGACTGCTGGAATTTCGAAGCATTTTGACGCTTTTAGAAAAAAGATAAAAGATTACTTCCTTAAATCACCTTTGTAAATACAATACGACCATCAAGAAATGGTGGTACTATATTGTGAACAAGTAGATGCACACGATTTTCATCTGTTTCATCCTCGAAGACATTGGACAGTTCATCTGCTAGAGCCACAACTCCTAAAAATATGTGGTTCATTGCTCCAAAACACTATGTCAATCAGCAGCATAACCCTTAAAAAAGAATATCGTCTAGCTAAAAAACTATTTAAAGCACCTGATCTATGAAGCCGATTATTTTCCCACAATTCATTTTCTCTCTTTATGGACTGCTGCTTGAGAGTAAGTCGAGGTCGTGATGTTTTCTCCTGCCACTGTTTTTCTCGCTTCTGTACGAACTCCTCGCTAATCTGAATAATCAAATATTTTAAAACACAGCCACAATAATGTTGAGATATTTGCAAAACTTTGAGCCCCACGCTGACTTCAAACCCGCGATTACCTTTTCTGTCGGCTCACGTGTTACCCACTGCACCACCAAGGATCTTGATTTGCTTTTATATCCAAGCAGTTTTTTACCCTAACGATCCTATTAGTAAACACCCGTCAACGGGAATGATGTGCGGAGCACAAATCGGGATTGAACGCAGCTAAACTGAACTTGCAGTCACAATCACAATGTTTAACTTTTCATTCACTGTTTATCATTTTTTCTTTCAACTAAAAAGATGCTAGACAGTAAAGAAAAAGTTAAACGTCACTTTAAAACACTTAGAAATTTCGAAATTAATTTGCAATGGGACAAAACCTTTGCAAATGAGTTATACTCTTCGTCATATACACCGTCATTGTCATACCACTCTCTGTCAATGATTCTCTGCTCAGCCTCCCACTGCTCACGCTCATCATCGTCATGAAATGCTGGCCTAAACAAAATCAGTGATGGGACGAAAGTCTCGAAATTTTCAAAGCGTTTAATCTCTCACTCAAAAACTTCCTTCACAGATCGAACGGTATCGTCTACTCGAGCAACTTTGCGCCGATCTTCGTATTGATGACGCCATTCACTTTGCCAAATGCTCGAGACACCTGGAAAATTGTAGCATTTTTGCAAACGAATGTCCGAAAAGAATGTAGAAGCCTGAAAAAACACATGTCAAAATAGAATAGCAAAACACCATGAGTAAAACGACTTTTTGTAGGGTGGAATCGGAAAGTTTCGGGAAGAGAACAGTTTCTTAGAAAAACATGAAAATAAGAAGACAACCTTGCTGAAATTTTATAACGATATCGAAGTCTGAAGAAATCTTTCTATGCCTGTACAAATATCGGTGCGATATAGAAGTAAAAACCATGTATATAATTCTGACAAAATTCATGCTAAAAAGTACACTGTCGGCTTAACCCACTTCTTTCAGAGTCCCCACGACGTGAAGTAGACTTATTTGGGGATGGTGTATCCCAGGAAGACTTCTGCATAGGCCCTTCATCATCATTCCAGCTGTAACGTGACGGGGTAAACGGTACCTAGAAATGAGCAAAACAATTGCAATACAGTAGCTTCTAGATGGCACAAATAAGTTGAAAGCTAAAACGTTGCTCGCCTTAAAATTTGGCGTTTCATATTCTCGACGTCCTCGTTTTTCGCGACGGTAATCAGATTCACTGAGGTCATCTCGCTTCCTTGAATCTCTCTCATCGTCACGACTACCTTTGTCCACTTGATCTTTTCCACGTTTTCTGCTGTCCGAAGCTATTCCTCGGCGTTCATTGCGATATTTCTCCGCCTGGTACCTGAAAATTTTCTAAATAAACCAACAGAATGTTAACTTTCTCATTTACTGCCTATTACAATTTTTCACCACAGGTATTATGAGTGACTCAACCACAACGATGCCGAGATCTTTGCAAAACTCCGTACCGCAGGTGTCTGTGGTGGGGAACGAACGCGCTATTACCCTTCCCGGGAGGCTAACGCGTTCACCACCACACCATGCGGGTCCTTCGTTTCGTTTGTCTCTCAGCTAAATTTCTGTAAACTGACAGATTTCAGTTCCTCATGGTTAATCCTGTTCAAAAATGCAAGAATAAGTGTCCTCTGAAAATTGTAATCTATTCGACTATGCAAACAATATATCGTCTCTTGAAACTAAACTGCCAAAAAGATTTCACACGTTCTAGAACTACGCAATACGGAAAATTCACCAACAGGGTTAACTACTATTATAACACTGAATTTAGTACGACTACAAAACATAAATCCGATTCGTCCACAGCTCTAGAGATTACTTTATATTTCTATATAAAAACTCTAAACAAATATGATGAAGGAGACGTTACTAACTTCTGTATGCCTCGTCGGACACTGTCACTAACTCCTGGATCAAAAGCTTCACCAATGTCTTGCCTTTTTCTTAAGTGTTCCTCTTTCTTTGTCCGTGCTAATCGATCGAGTCCAAATATTGACCTTAAAATTAGCACTCCGATGTGCACAGCAATTAGCCTTGAAACCAATTTTCAGAATTATGCTAATACAGTGAAAATGATATAGATAAAACCTTAAAGTGAATGCTCAACAAACAATGCAACCACCTTAAAGTTAACTCAATTTTCAGCGACGCTGATGAGCACTTGGACATGTTCTACGAATATAGCGAAAAGCAATGCAATATATGAGTAGGCATATGGTAGTAAAACAATTCAGAGGTAACATGCTCATATGAAAAACAAGCTAGTACTTTTAAGGCAGTGAAGTGAGAAAAGAAGGAGGTGGACAGCACAACAGTAGTGATGTCGGTCATCACGAGCATGGTGCCACTTCGATCCCGTGCCGGACTAACCAAGTCTCTCACGCACTCATGGTCGGCAAACTAGTACTGGACTTGTCCGGGAAAATAACACCCTCTGCAATCCGAATGGGAACGTTCCAGTTCGGTTATCTCAGGACTCCAAGGGGAATCGACTCGACCAGCATTCTACGACATACAAGATGAAATGAAAATCCTCAAGCAATATACGAAGTCACACCTAGAAGTTGGAAGACCCGCACGGTAGACGTGAAGACAGGTTGTATAAAAAAAAGTGAGAAAACGGTAAAAACAGCCCTAACCAACCCTCTAATTAGTACCGTAACTGCCAAGACGGCTTTCTTATGCACCTATACAAATTCATGGTAACTTCTTTGCACGACTAACCTACCCTCCTCTCGTGGTTTATCCTCCACTTCAGTTTTGGGTTTTCGAATAACCAAACCACCAAAAGTATCTATGCGGCTATCCAGGCGATCAACAGCCTCACCTGACATCTGTAAAATTTCGTAGTATGTATACAATATGCACACTTACACATATATGTAAAAGTATAAAATCGTTTACAAAGCAGTAAATGTGAAAAAACACAACTTGACATCAAATATTCAGTATTGAAAGACAATTTGTCACCACTATTGACTACGAGGAGCAACCATCCTCAGAATCTACATGTTTACTGTACACTGAGCATTTAAAACCAGCTCTATACTTAGTCTGTTCCATTCACAAACTCGCGATAATGTAGATAAGAATCAAGAACATGTCTATAGTACAAATAAAATGCATTTCCTCCTTAACAGAGGGGGTAACATGGTAAAAAAAAAGCTAAGAGGTGAATTAGGAAAGGCACGGAAGTGGTGCATGAATCAAAATGATAGGGTACGTAACTCGATAGGCTTGATCAGCGCGAATCAAGAGATATCGCTTAGCCATAGGTATTGGCAAGCAACATTTAAGACAACGTGTAAACAATATAACAAATCGTTCTGAAAGGTATAAAATGGAAGACACTGCCGATCAGAAACGTTACCAAATACCACTGAAGCAAATTATGCCAAATACAAAAAGATGCGTCAAAAAAAACAGAACACGTATACACCTGTTTAAAAAAGCATTAGCAGGTGAAAAAAAAATGTAGGAAAAGCTATTACGGCGAGATTTAGATGGCCCAACTAAACTCTGAGAAGTGCTTTACGGCATATAAAGTAATACCGACATCTCTGTAAAAGTAAATACCTAACATGCGAGGAACGCAAGAATGAAACGATGGAGCACTTCGACCCGAATGAATCAAATTTGGGAGAACTGAGAAGACTACACCAATACCACGCGATGGCTCAGTGATGCCGGCGATGACTTCGTCGTGGCATTGTGTTGTAAGTGTTGCCCCCATCTTCCAAGGTGCGTCGTGATCTGGATCGTGAACGGTTCGATCGCCGACGCCGCACCTTCAGAAATAAGGATACATTCTAACGGAAACCACATGTTCAAAACCAAAGAACCTCTTCATCGTCAGAATGATGGTCTTCTGTGCCGCTAGAGTTCTCCACTATTTCCTCAACGTGAGTGCGTTTTCGAGATTCTTCCTCGGTTTCACAAATGACATTGCTACTGTGTGACCTATAAAATCATAATATGAAAAACATTCATGATTGCGACCATTCTGTGGTTTTCTATTTATTATAGCACCACGGATCTCCAAGGCATCTCAAACCGATTGTTAGCGAGGATACGCTACGCATCGTCAACGAGCTGAGAGAAGATTAAATGTGGAGCACAATCATGCACGCAGTCTGAGGAGCAGGTGAAATTGGTGTGTCTCACTGTTTCTGCTTTGTTAGGTCGACTAATACATCTTAAATCCATGTAATCATACGCAGGAATACGTGTTTAGGCGTGCCTTCATTTGTCCCTAATACATCCAGCACGTTGTTCCAGCCAAAAACCTGCAAACGAATCACTGACAACTACGTGAGAGATGGTTCGGATTCGCTACAGCAAATATGAGCCACGTCTACTTCGAGGAAAACTACTCGTGAGTAAACCCAGGCCTCCAGTTCAGAGCTCGACGAGCTACTCGTGGATATCCTCACATCTAAACACTAGGAATGAAAGGCCTTATACGAAAAATGTGACGCTCCTCATCCACCTTGAGTAGGTGCAGCCATATTCAAGTATGGCGTGCGAATAAGGATAGAAACATTAGTAGCAACCGCTCAATTCACTCGACTAGTAAAGGTTACATGTGGCATACACGGGAAATGACGTGTGACCCTTTAATTAGTTGTACAGGATCACAAAGAACTCCACCGATGAATGCATGTATTAGGCGCGCATCAAGATTTCTTTTTAAGTTCTCTTTTTAAAAAATTCCTCGCTATCACCTACAATGCCATTCAACGGCTTCTTGCACATGGGAATAGCGATGAATTACGGTAGATTTTTAGAAAGCGATGCTTCTGATGCTGTTCTGCTTAAGATAGGTAAAAAGGAAAATGAAGTTTTACCTCTGAAGTTTGTTAACAAGCTGGGCTTGTCCACGTAAAGCAGCCTCGGCCACGATGTCACGAGCACACAACAAGCTACGACTGCCCAGGCGAACAAGCTGGGAGAAACTATGCCAAACAAGGAACGAAGACAAAAAAAGCATTCAGTCTACGGTATATGCAGCCTCTTTTTCTAATTTTTCAGTAAAAAAGTGTAAAAGATAATGTTTACGATATCAGTCGTTATCGTAGAGCTGACTCCTTTGGTCTCATTACCTACAGAAGATGCTAAAGAACTAGTCATGGATTTTGCTTTACGACATGAGTACGGTAGCAAATGCACCAGTCCTCCCTTGTTCACGAATTCGTTAAGAATTCATCCACTTAGGAGCAATTTAGCGTGTTGTTGATTCCATGGGGCAAAGGAAGTATTCAAAGATATATCTCACTGTTCTGTGTAACACTTTTGCCTCTACATACACATATTACTCCACTCAACGGCTTACCGCCTCATCGTGGCTGGGAGGTAACACTGGGTGTCGGGCTGCAATGTACTGCTGGGGGATTCAATCCCCCCGCAAGTTCTCCCAAGCTGAGGAACCCGACGTTTTCAACAGGAAGCCTAGCTAAGAGTAAACTAGTACCAGGATCCACTACCGTTCTTGTATCAAACTAGACGTGCAGTGGCAGACCTCCCTCTTATCCACAAAGGCGGCGACTGCCTGTGGTGTTGAAGACCTGGGGCAGACTTTGGCCTAGCTAACCTCAGAACTCCAGAGAACCACAATGGTAAAACCAGCAAAATTCCGAAGAATTGAGAATATGCTGGGGCCCGCATAACCAGTGAGGACGGACCGTCTAAGTATCCAAGTAGGTACACATATTGCTCAGCTGTCATTGGAAAGGTGGAATTCGATAAGTAATGGTGCAGCGGTCAAATTGGATTGTCCACAACCAGTCGTAAACTTACACAAATCTTCTTTCTAATCAAACAGTTATTAAACACGTAAGCGTTTGCGAAGTTCTAAAACAATCGGGTTCCGCATTCCCATACTATGTTCCCGCCCATACAAACCAACAACACAGAAATAATCTATAACAGAACATACTTGATTGTAGCTCTCAGATTTTGCCTGCTCCAGCATAGCGTCAATGTCTTGTTCGTGCTTACAAAGTGTTGGGTGAATCCACTAAAACAATCGGATTACTTTTTAATAGGGCCGCCTCTAAATTTTTGTAAGCAGTTGTAAAGAATGAACCTTTCGACTACAGTCAGGCATTTCTCGCTCAACATTCATCAACAATCCAAAAATGTAGGAAAAGAAATGTCGTGATAAACGATTGTTCGTTAGAAAGACTAAAACCAATAGTAAAAGCATGCAAAAGCAAAATATTCGAGCCTTTCTATACAGAATCGACGCTCCTTTCGTCCATGGACTCAACAACCAAATGATGAAGACAATCTTCAGCTGATAGTAGAAAGGGAACCAGAACGATATGAAAACATCGGCTAGTGTCTCCACGAAGGAGTATATAGCAAAAACAATCCAGTACATCATCCATTTCACGTATTCGCGCACGTCTTTCGTTCGGATAGCCTAAAAACGGCAAGAGTGAAGAATCAGTTACAAAACTCGAAACATAACTTCAATGATGCTGAGATATTTGCAAAACTCCGGACCACAGGTGTCTGCGGCGGGGAACGAACGCGCTATTGTCATTTCCGGGGAGTAGCGCGTTCACCACCACACCACGCGGGTCCTTCGTTTCGCCTGTCGCTCAGGTACTTCCTTTTGCCATCAGCAATCACCCGTCAGCGGGATTGATCTGGGGGGCCCAAATCGGGAACTAACCCAGTTAAGCTGAGGTCGCAATTATAATCAAAATTTTAACTTATTATTTAGTGCCTACTCTGATTAACGGAAGGGTATACATTGTGAAATACGGATTGTGATGATCGTGTGGTGGTGAACGAGCTACTCTCCGGAAAGGACAATAGCACGTTCGTTCTCCACCGCATACACCTGCGGTCCGGAGTTTTGCAAATATCTCAACACCATTGAAGTTATATTTCACAATGTATACCCTGCCGTTAAAAAGAGTAGGCAGTAAATAATAAGTTAAAACTCCAAACATACTCAATGTAATCTTAAAGCTAGAAGGATAAAGTTCTCGGCGTCGATCAATTCCAGAGGGATGCGTCATGCATTCGTCTTTATTAAGCATCGTTTGAGGTGATTGAGCGCATATCTGGGCTTTACAATGACTCACTACGGTCTACCGATGTATCGGGTCGGTGTTGCTATCCTCTCAGACAAGTCTGGTACCAATTTGCCGACCTCGACGGGATGGAAGGGTTGGTGAGCCTTCGGCTCAGGAATCGAACTCAGGTATACATTTGCAGTATACTGCAGGGCGCTTCCGACCACTGCGTTACATGAGCTCCTGAGTGTAATCGTACTCAGCAAATGTAATAACACTCAGGAAATTGTTAAGGAAAGACCTATTAGCACTATTACTGTTATCCATACTAGGCAATGTGAACTTCTGATTTAGGATCAGAAGAGAGATACGAACCAAACGGAATTCTACCTAAACTTGACTGCCACAAATCATTAGACAAGTCACTAGTAGGAAACTGCGTTTAGCTATGAAAAGATAACAAATTAATGAAAAAAATTAGGTGACATCTAGTGAAGTAACTAATATTCTTAATAATCTAAATTCTATATAATCATATTCCTTCTTCATTGTAAAGTACTATGTAAAGTACAACCATAAAAACGCTGAGATATGAGCAAAACTCGGAAGTTCAGCTCGGTTTCGAATCCGCGATGACCCTTTCCGGGGGCTAACGTGCTATCGCCACACCAACCAAGACTTTTGTTATGCCTTTTCTCAGCCAACCAATTTGTCCAGCGGATTAACTTTCACTTGTCCTTTTATTAACTTAATTAACTAAGTACTTACTTGATACTTGAACGACCCGTCACCACAAGTTGTGCGGGCCCCCGCATAATTTCCATGTTTTTTGAGTTTTGCTGATTTAGCCATTGTGTTTCCTTGGAGGCGCGAGATCACCCAGGCCAAAGTTTGTCCCAGGTCGTCACCACCACAGGCAGTCGCCGCTCTTGTGGATCAGAGGGAGATTTGCCACCATGCGACTTGTATGATACCAGGACAGTGGTGGATAGTGGTATTGGACGTTGCTGTATCGCATTTAACTGTGGTGACGACGTCTAGCCCTCAGTACCCTTTAAATTAAGCACTTAGTAAGTGCATAGGAAGGTAAGAGTAGAACAGTTCAATAAAAAACTCAAAAAAACGTAAGAAGGGAGCAGATAGCGCAGTGATAATGACGTCGTTCACCACGAGCAAGATGCTGCTTTTACTCCACACTAGGTTCACCAAGCCTCTAAACGCTCTGTAGTCGGGAAATTGGAACCAGACTTTTTTGGAGGCACTTCACGTCTTGAAATTCAAGTTAGAACGCCCTAGTCCAGCAAACGGAAAATCAACTGGACCAACATTCAACGGCACTCACAAAGAATATACAAAGAGCAAGCATTCTTTATAGGTTCCTCTTCTATGGAAAGCATGGTGTCGCTCGTGAAAAACTTAGCCAATTCAGACAGTTCAGGATTAGTCATCAAAAATTGCATGGGAACACATACATGCGTCATTTCACAACGTGGGAGCGACCAAAAAACACCTCGTTCACTGGTTGTGAACACCATAAATTCGATGATGAAGAACAGTTCATTCGTTCATTTCGGAGGACGATGGTATGCTCGAACACAATGACGAACATAGGTTCTCATCCTGAGGCTCTGCGAACGATATTTTTACAGTTGACAAGAAATTCGACTATGCTACATTGATTTATAGCTCGGGAGAATGTGATAATTGCGTAAAACCAGACTATAACGTTAGAATTGCCGAATCTTCTTCTTCTAGCTATTATTATTATTTGTAACACCCTTATCTAGTTCGCAACTAATTGCTAATAATGAATGCAAAACGGCGCGTGTAGCGCACTGGTCGGAGGCGTCCTGCAATACACACTGGATGGCATCGCTCCCTGCGCCGCGGACTCACTAAGCCTAATGCATGTACTTTCTGAGAACAATCCCTCAAGGATTGATCAACGCCGAAAGCTTAATTATTTTAGTTTAATGAACGCCAAAAAACATGAATGCTTACCTTGTAACTTCTGTAAGCGGGATATAAAGTTCCCGCAGTTAGTGTGACAATACGAGAGAGCACCATGGACATTCCGACCAAGACCGTCCAGGTACGACGAACAGTGCGCTCCTACAAAGCCGATTTAATTGTCGAAAAACCTTATGATATTCCATATGAAATCGGAAGCGATAAGATAGATACAAATAAAAATCCTATCCCGGCTATATCAAATATGTCTCAAAACACAGCTACAGAATTCACAGCAAACACACGGATTTTCTTCACGAGCAAAAAGATATATAAATATTTAGCAAAATAAGAGAAAAACGAGCAGCACACGGGCGTTGAATTCCATCTCTGTAAATGAGAGAACGGTCTAATAGCACTGGATAACATCAAAACAAAACCGTCGACGAACAGTACAAAGTCTGGACCACTATAAGAAGAACGGAGGAACAGGATCACGACAGCATTTTATTTTAAGCACATCAAGTTTGTAGCGGTTGATTTTAGCAAAGATAAAAGTTAAAACTCCGTCGTTTTCGAAAAGAAAAACTGTTGATGCTTTAGCGTTCATGTGAGCAGGAGAGGTTCTGCTGCCTGCGAGTCAGGCGTAGCAGCGCCAAGTCACCCACTGCCGGTCAGTACCACGTAGTACTTTCAAGCAAGAAAAGGCATGTAGATAAAAGTAAGAGTTATCTCTATTGTATTTATTATGGGTACTTTCTGAGAACACTCATAAACTGGTAAATAAATGGAAGATCGCCAACGGATCCATGGCGTCACGGTTAAAAACGAAACATGGTAAACACAGGCTGCAGGCGAATCGATAACGATGCGTGTTCGCCGAGGGGCCGGACGACAGCTGAACACTGCGACGGCATTGCCGACAACCTGATGGTGCCGTCTCCTTTTCCCCATCCATGTGGTCCGATACCTTGAGTTTTTGAGTGGATCGATTCGTACGTATCAGGTTTCAGTCTTTCTAAGACCAAAGCTTAGCGACGAGAATCGCTCCAAACACGGACGTTCGCACTTCGAATTCAACATTTAACGCAGCGCTCCTCGGTCACTTTCCCAGAGTTGCTTACGTTTTTCCTTTTTTGCCTCATTAATTTATCGATTACCATGGGTTAACATATATTTCGAAGTTTGCGGAAGCTACCTGGGTTTACCTGGTACTTATATTTTAATGTTTCGTGGTTTTTTCCCGACGATCCTAACAGATTGCGAACATATTTCCTTCCATCCAGTTGAAAGTTTTGATGTCCCGTTTTTTTTTCCTTTTTAATATATCTCTTCACTGTTCGTATAACGTAAGAATTATAGCTTATAAGCTATGAGGACTTAGGATTTGTATTAAACGACTAAACTAAGGAAAAACTAAAGTATAACTCTTAGAGACGGAACTTAGACGTCCGGTTCGAAGGAGTTCACCTCCCAACTTACAAGTCCCTTATTTCCTTCTCTTTACATCCTTAAATTTCGCCTCTAGCTTTATTCTAATCGATAGAATGTCTTTTGCTTCTTGAGCTTCTTGCGGTTTTTCGTTTAGACTAACCATCTTTGCAGACAATTAGGGTTACTGTTGGAGTTCTTCACTCATTCATCTACATGGTGATTCTGTGGTTTATCCTCATGGTTGATTTTTATGACTCTATTGATACATTTATTATTAAGGTTTCCGGTGTAAGTGTTGGTCGCTGACCACAGTTAAGATTTGACGTAAGTTCAGGACTTTCCCACATGACGCATTTCTTTCATTCATTCTCCATTGAACTTATGAAAGTGGTCTATTCCGTGTTTGACAACGTCTCACTCTTTTCAAGTCCTGTCGTTGAACCCATTTCCTAATACGATTACAACTTATCGGCGCTGATAGAGTAGTCTCTGTTCATCTAGTCGTTTGAGATCCCCATCGCAGCTGGTCCATGAGTGCTCTGATTTCAATGTATGTTCATAAGCCATTCAACCATTTCTCATAATCTTAAGAGCTGTTTCAAAAGCTTTAAGGACGTCGAATCTTAAGCCCAAATTTCCTTACTTCGTCAGTCTTTATGAAGTCGTCTCTTGTGTCATCATATTATTTGTTCAAATCAGATTAGAGTCTGCTTAAATGCTTGGACATTTCTACATTTGGATGGCTCGTTTTCAGTGATTCTGCGGGCTCCAGCATAATTTCCACTTTTTCGGAGTTTTGCTGGCTTATGCATTGTGGTTCTCTTGAGCCCCAAGGTCAGTCTGGCCAAAGCCTGTCCCAGGTCATCACCAGCACGGGCATTTGTGGATCACATGGAGAATTGCCACCAGGCGACTAGTATTAAACCAGGACGGTGGTGGATCCTGTCCGCTTAAGTATTCTAGAAAATTAGAAAACTCTCTCGTTTAGCTTGGAAATTCAAAGAACGCCATGAAATAATTTTTAAGAAAGATATGGATATAACTCGTATGAAGTGCTGAGATATTTGCAAAACTCTGGACCACAGGTGTATGCAGTGGGGAACGAACACGCGCTGTTGTCCTTACCGGGGAGCAGCGCACTTCACCACTACACCATCCGGGTCGACACCACACCAAAGATATGGATATGTTGAATCTAGGAAAAGGAGTTGTTCTGAGAAGAACCGCAATGATGTTTCGCGAAACCAATGGAAGGATGTGAAGAAATGATGGCTTCAGCTTGAAGAAGATCGCTAAGGGATCTCAAGACTAGCTACGCTTCCTTCCAAGGTAAAAAATTTGCGCTTCGGTTTTAGTGAAGAATGGTTTAGGATTCCTTATCTACCGACTTCTACCGAACTATCGATTAACTTGAGACTGAACAAGCAAATGTATTTAGAATTTTGCTGGCTTTACCAGGAGCATCAATGTTGCCATTCATCAAGAAAAGATTTTGAGGAAGATTTTGATCCCCTGGCTTGTTCCCACCTAAAATTACATACGGATAGAGGAGGACGTTAGCCTTCGTGGACGTCAGTTTATTCGCGGTAGTCACCTTGACTCGTGTAAGTGATCGGTTAGGGGTGAACATATAAAGGTATTGGTTCTATCCTCCCCTTAGGCCAACCAAGTCCTAAGACGTCGAATGTGAAGTGCCGCTTGGTGTTTTTTTTTGTACATGGTTGATGATGGATTAGCGATGGCCCACGTCTAAATTGTACAAACAAGTGTTCGCTTGAATGGATGGGCGTAGTTATTTCTGTCCATCATTCGGTTTGTTTTTTTTTCTCAAAGAAGGCACATCAGTTCATGAACACTGCTTTTTCCCCCTATTTATTACCTTTGCTTTCAAGTCACTAGTGGGGAAGTGGTCCCACATGATAACATAATCCTGTTAATCCTGTTAACACCGGTTTTCACAGCATTATAATGGGCACCAAAGTAAATCCTCTGGATCTAAAAAATATGATAAAATATGAAAAATAGAACATCCTACCAATTCTTCATCTATGCATAATATTCATAAATGTAAGGACACATGTGGCGCAGCAGTTAGAGGTGCTGTGTAATACACACGTGGTCGATGGTTTGATCACGTGCCCTGGTCTCACTAGTCCTTCCACCTTTCCGATGACGGCAAATTAGTAGCGGACTTATTTTGCAGGATAGGGGCGCTGACTTGATTCATCGCTAGGCAATCGCAAGTCATAGGCCAGATGTGCATTCAGTCATCTGTAAACACCTCTAACGACGCTCAATGAAGTCGAATGCATGGCGCATCCCCCAAATAGATCGACACCTAAAGCCTTTTTTATTCATAAATGGGTCATAACTGAGCGAACGAGGAAAAAGTGGAACAGCTGTCATGGTGGTAAAGTTACGAAAGCAGCTGGCAACGATTCCACCCGTTCGGATCCACTGTTTGGGCGACGAGTACCGATGTAACTGCGCTTGCTTTGACGCTGTAATATCCCTGTCTCGTAGTCGACGATGTTCAAGATAAAGTATAGGTGGTGCTCGCGAAAGACCGCGAGTACACAACTTTACGTTCAAACGTGCTGAGAAGAGTGGAATCTCTGTAAGTGTCGATGGAATGCTCCACTCCGATTTCCAAGAAAAATCGGATTAATTGCAATATAGACGTGCTATCAGTGGCATCTACAAGAAAATTACCTGGTAATTCATTTAGTACTGACGTGAGCTACTTTTCTTGATGCCGATGAGTGGTTTTAGTACAGTGAAGACAACAGTGTCTGGCATGGAGATGTAAAAGGGAAAAAATTGCACTACTGATTCTACTTTGTCAGGGTCATGAGAAAACATTAGCACGAAGGTGTCAGCGACAGCTCAAGTTGACAGTTTTACAGATTGTCTTTAATTCCTTTCTTATACTAAACTGTAAGGAAGTTAATGTATTCGTAATGCACTACTAAGCACACTGATATCAGGGTGATTGTAACGAGGAAGTCATTCGGAAAAACGCTACCCGATGTTTAACACAGAATCGTCGATTACTAACAATGGACCTGTTGCTTACTTCCTTCATTTTAGCAATTGATTTGCACATGTTATGTGCCTTATTGGAATAGAAGTCCTGTTCATGATGTTAAATAATTAATTATGCTGCACCACATCACTGACACACAAATGATAAGATCAATGGAGTAGCGAGAATAGAAGCTCGCTTCAGATTCCAAATACGTTAACTGCAGCACCTCTTGGTAATGCCTCCATACTTCGGTTACTTTTCACAACGGAAATTTGGACATCATTATATTTTAATATTTCAAATAATCAACATGTATTCTTTCTTTGATGAGCTTATTCAGGGTTGATAAACAGTTGTATTTGGCTAACGTTTCGACGTCTTCGTCTTCATCAGAGCCGAAAATCCGAGTTAATAGTCCACCGTACTACTTCGCCTGAATGCAGCGTCTTCGGCATCAACATCCTACATAAAAGGGCATCACCGAGTGACTGCCTCATTTGAGAGATGGTCCTCTAAGGAAGACAACTCGATGCAAAGGTGAAGACACCACATCGAGACGAAGAAGAACGGTGGACTATCGATTCGGATCGTCGGCTCTGATGAAGACGAAGACGTCGAACTTCGTGTAAGTTCATCAAAGAAAGAACACATTGTTTTCTAA